CTGATAAAAAATTGATTTCTCTTTCTTTTTAGAGGAATTCGTTGTTCATGGCGAAGAAGGCAAAGACAACTTGTATCTACCCTCAACTTCTGCAGAAGTAGAATTTATTGAACAAGTGCATAGTCAATCATCTATTTCTCTACCTTGTGTAATAGCACAAATTCAAACGAGTAATGTGTTATTATCAAACACTCCAAGAAAGCAGAGACTGCGCCTGAAGATAGCAACGTTAAGAAAACGTTTGTTTGGTGCAAAAAGAAGAAAAATAATTACTTAATATTTAATATTTTTTATAAGTACCGTTTATATAATTATTCTATATTTTTGTTTTATATTAGGATATAGCTATTTTAATAAAGCTACTTACCTATGTATTATAAATTAGGCTTGCTCTATAAATCTGTGTAAACAATTTTAATTATTTTAATTTTCAAACAATTCTATTTTCATAAAATACATACACTAAATTGTAAACTTATCAATTGCATAAATACACGTTTTTATATTTTTCTTTTTTTTTATTCATAAAATCCCTAAAATATGCTTAAGCTAATGATTTTTTAAAAATTATTTCAATTGATTTATACTTATGGATCATAAATGACTAGTGAGATTAATATTAATAGTTCATTATGACAGGGTAAAATAACCTATTGTTTAAAACTTTAAAATTTTAATTTTTGAAACCTCTATCGAAAGTGCTACAAATCAAACAATAATTTACTTAATGCATTCATGCAAATTTTCATAAAATATGACACATAATTATGTAAAAGAGAAATGTTGTTTTCGCAGCGTAAGTTCAGTGAATAGCTACGTTCGCGTGTACCGTGATTAATTACGTTAACTCAGAGTATCTCTGTGGTGGAACTCAAGGTTAAATATTTCTATTCCTTCAACTTCAAAGTTCCGACCATTACTTTCTTTTCTGTATTGTTCTTTCTTCTGTGGTTGTCGTTGTTTCGGCTCAGCTCGTATGGCCTCTTCTTCATCAGTTGATATGACAGACAAAGTATTATCTGATACTGAATCAATAGAAGAGACTGAAGATACAGACATGATCATAAATGTAATTTAACCAAAGACATTACAACATATAGACAAAATGTTTTATTCATAAATCCCATACAATTGCGGACTGTTATTGTTTTAAAATTGTTAGTGAGTGGAAAAGAGAAAGACAGATCTCTTATGACCGGCTGGCAACGTTGTAAACAGTGTCTATAATATGCTCGCCAGTGGCGTAGAGTTTTAAACTTACTAGTATTGTTAGAGTAGTATAATAAAAATATACGTAAATATGTAGGTATATTTTTTTAGTAATATAATTATGATGATTTTTTCATGTAGGTAGATTAGATTATGAGTTGGACGTTATTTGTCCTTGTCCACCGCAACCTTTTCAGATCTATTGTGGGACTCCTGTTTGTTTTAGAGTATGTCGTCTAGCCTGGTCTTTTTTATTAGTCTCAGTAGCTTTAACAGTGGCTCCCGCATGTAGTTGCATGCAATTGGCTTTTCGTCGCCCAATGTTAGAAACCTCGTTCCAGCCAGGCATTCACATTGGCACAGGACGTGGAATATTGTTTCCTCTTCTTCTTCACAGAACCTGCACAAAGTTGCTTCTTCGGCTGGATTTATGACACTGATGTGCCTTTTGATTTGACGCTTTTGTGAACTTGGCCGATGGTTCCTTGGTAAACTGTTTGGCCTGTCTCAGTCTTGGATAGTTGTTCCACCATTCCTGAGACTCTGTTTGCATCCATTGTTTAATGGATGCCTTGCACAATGCCTTAGCAACTCCACAGAAGGGTCCGGGACCTGTCATGGCCTTATCTGAGCCTCCTCGGCCTAATTCGTCGGCCTTTTCGTTGCCCTGATATCCCTCATGGCCTGTAACCCAGGCTAAGGTCACCTTATTTTAACTACTTAGCTCTGTCAGGTCTTCTAGACAGTCTTTCACCAGTCGTGATTTGATTTCTGGTGAGAGAATTGCCTTCAGAGTATATGACAATATTTTTGCATGATACTTGCTGATTTTTCATGTAGGTAAATTCAAGTACAAGTAAATTCAAATACAAGCGAATTCAAGTTACCCTTCGATTTTTAATATTTATTGGTTTATAGTTTATTGGCATTTACTATATATTTGCCTGGTATGATGTTAAACAAAATTATTTAAAATTTTAAATTAACATTAAGTAGGTAGGGGTATCTAAATAAAACACTGTCCTAAAAATATATAATTTTTTAATTAATAATTACAAAAAAACATGGAATTGCAAAAAATATCGTAAAAAAACTGTAAAAATTTTTAAAATAATGTTTTAAATATATAAAATACTTTAATTTTATTAACTAAAATTTCATTTAATTTTTTTATGCTTAGTTATTAATGTTATAACTTACTGCAACGTTTCTTTTTACAGCAGGTGGTGTTCCAAAAACAGTTGAATCAGAACTAAAAACCCATACATTAGATATACATACATATAGGTAATAAATAATGTTTAGAGGTGAACAAAAAATTAATATTTTGTATTTTTACCTGTTGGATAAGTCATCCAAAAATAGAAAGCCCTCACACCGTCTGGAGTTTGCATCTTTTCTAATATATATCTAGTACCATTTGCACGTACCAAAACATTTTCAGGAAAACAGTGTTCTAAACGCAACTCTGGGTTTTTTCGAAGGGGCTGATTTTCAAGGATTCCTATTAGAGAAAACCAAAGTTTTCTTTTCTCAGGATCTTGCGAAAACCTAAATAAAGTAATAAAAAATATGTATAGGTGCTGAATAGGTAAATAATTTTTAAGGTATTCTACATTTTACGTTAAATTTTCTTTGCCTCTATTCAATATTTATTTATTGGCATAAGAAAAATTTACTAATTTATAAAAGGAATATCACTTTAAAAACTGTTTTAAGACTGTTTTAGACTACACAAGTTTCTGATAAAATTTCTTGTACAATTTAAATTGTATATTATCAAACCTGCAGTAAATTGTCTGAAAAATTAGATTGGATAATCATTTTTCAAACAATTTACTATGTCGTGATCCTATATATATATATATTTAAATTCTATGAGAAATTGTATCAAATCTTGTACAAGCCCTACTCCACTGGTTCAAATGAAAACAACATATCTTAACCTAAAAATACTTACCGATGAAACCATACATTTCGACTTAAATGATCTACCTTTTTGAACACTACACATGCATGTACCATAATTCTTTATATTTTTCACAAAAGTTTACAAAAATAGTATTATATAAATGAATAAGTCAATAAGTCACACAGAAACTGTCAGATACTGTCAGAAATACAAAATAGCTGTTATACCTGATATACCTGATTGGCAACGTTGCGGCTGGTTACGGTACTACATTTCATTCATAAAAATTGTAAATTCGTAAAATAAGATAGTCAGCGTTGCTGTATTTACGGAGTTCTTCGAAACCCTATTATTTTGTTTAGATTAATATTGATTTTTTAATAAAAAATTTAGCTTATATTAAAACTTCAAAGAATAATTTGATTAAAAACATATTTTTATTTATATAATATACAATTATAGTTACAGGACACATCAAATTTTTTTTTTTCGAAATTAATTTCTCCAAATATTTTTGACAGACTGATAAAATCGGCAAAGACGCAATAAACGAGAATCTGGTGGGAATAATGATTTGCCACATAACAATGTAAACAATTTGGTCTCTTAGTTGTAATGTCTTTAAATTTAACTGTTCTTTTTTGAGAAATAAAAAATTTAAGGTGATATCTGTCACACACTGCTGTCAGTTTAACCCACAAGTAAAATTTACATGACAGAAAATCATGGAGTATTTTATTTTGTAGATTTACTAACGCCCATATGCACCGTTTTAAAATCTAATCCAGATTTGCAAATCTCGTTTAAATGGCTAGGGAATATTTTCTATGCACCGGCTACGGATTAGATAATCGAGTTTAGTAATCTGACAACACTGGAATTTTATAAATTTCACAAAAAAGAGAAGAAGAAAACGTCAGATTTGAGTAGGAAAAATGTTTGTCAGAGGATAAGAGGCCGTTGAAAATAGAAGCCCTATTTTTTAAATGTACCAAAACCGTAAACACGCCGTAAAACGCATACCGAATTCTACGCAGGGTGAAAAAAAAATGTGTAATAATTTTATAAAAATAATTCTCTAGTAAGATGGGATTACCATTATGTTAATTTTTGGAAATTTTAACATATATACATACAAGCTGCTGTATTTCAAGCTTTTTTATGCAGAAGATATACCTATGTGAATATTTTATTCCCTATACTGTGCATGTTCAAAACTAGATATGACATTATCAGTATTTAAAAGTGGACAAAATCAGATAAATATATGTACCTATTGCTTACTTTTTTTATATTTTTCAATGTATCCGAATTTGCCATCTAACTACAGAATTATGCTGTAACGTTAGAATATAAAAAACCTCTTAAAAATGACAAAGTTGCCCATCGTATAAAAATATTCACTTCTCTAGTAATTTTGTAAAGAATCTTTATCATCTTCCAAGAAAAGCTGGTATTCTATTTCCTATTTTTATTAAAATTCAATTAAAAGAAACAATTAGAAAGTTCCAAATATACTGACATCTTTTTGACGTAAGAAAATCTCGATTAGATAGGTTAATCCACCGATGTCGACGGATTAGAATAAAATCGGATTAAGAATGATTTTTATTACGGTGCATCGCTAAAAATACTACTTAACGCGATTAAACCCTTAATCTGGATTAAACGTGTACGGTGCATACGGGCGTAAGCAAGTAAATTTAACCATGATTTATAATAGGAAAATCTGTCAAGTTACATACTGTAATAGGAGAGTAAATTTTACTTATCATGTAAAATGTTTTATAATACCGTCCATTAATGGTTTAAAAAATATCCTTTATTATTTACTTGCAATGATTACCTCATTTAATTCTAAAATTAAACACTAGAGAGGGTTAACTTCGGCAGTAGTGCTACCTCTATATTTCACGCACAGTCCCTATTGCCGATTCGCCTCCTTCTATCTCGTCTTTATAGTAATCACTTAAAAGTATTCAGTTTTTTTTTTTAAGAATTCAATCAACTAATAAAGATGTTAAAGTTGGACATATTCACGGGACATATTATCGCCATAATTTTCTGAAACCTACAAACTTCATAAATCTGTCAAAACAAACATTCTGTGCAATCTCCAATGTTAATTATTGTTAATTTTTAAAAAGATGGTCATCGTTGCTTAATCTAGAAATTCAAATACCATGTCTGTAATTATTCATGTCTAATTAATATTACAAATTTATTATATACAATTTTCTTTAATTTCAGTTCCCCTAGAATGATTCGTATCGTATCGATTGCTGCACGATGACTTGCGCAATGCAACGTCCTGTCCTACATCGAATTTCTGTATTTACTTCGAAGATGTAAAACAAAAACCAACTGCTGTGAAGCGCAAAAACTATGAGAAAGTGTTAATTTCAAGAAAATTATTTAGTTCTGACTTAGACGCTGATATGGAACGAGAATAAGTGTTGTGTTTACGAATAGTTGTTAAGTTTTTTTAATTTTACGTATTGTTAAAACTTGAAAATGGGTAATTTACAAAGTGAACCTAAATCGTCAAAATCTAAGCTTAAATCTAAAGTAAAACTAGGAGGTAAAAAGAAAGGAAAAGTTGATGAAACTTTTACTTCTGTGGTACCCGATGAAGAACCACCCACACCTGAAACCACGGAAAGAATACACACCATACCTACATATGAAAAACAAACTAAATTGGATTCGTCTCAAGCTCTTAACAAAATTAATCTAGATAATGATCAGAACGTGAGTTCCGTAAATAAAATTATTGATATCACTGACCAAAACAAAATTGCCACACCTCAGTCTAGCTCAGAATCGTATTTTACCGAGCCTCAAACACCAGTGGGATCTTCAACACAGAACGAAAAACCCACAACCTCCCCTGAGAACTTTTTACACAATCTAACCTTAAACAGCTTCAAACTTAATGAGTACAGAGCTAGACATGAAGAGGAAAAAACTAAGAAATTAAGCAAATTAGGTGTATCTAAGACTAGTCAAATAAGCTTGGATAATGATCCAAATGAATGCTTTGTGAGTGATAATGTCGAAATTATTAGTCAGATTCACGATGAGAGTTGGTGTTCGGATTTTCCTTTGGAAAGGGAAGATACATTTAATAAGAGGCCTCAAGCTTTGCTGGACGGTCAAAATTTAGATATAAGTTTAAACTATGGTAAGTGAGACTTTCTTAATTTATAAATACAATGTGGCCAACTTGAAATGAAATCTCCCCCAATACTTTTTACGTTCCTGTTACCAATAAAGAAAGGATAAGAATAATTTTTTTAGACCTCGAGTTTTAGTCAGATCTTTACGTTTTGAGGTCCCCTGAATCAGTTTTGACCACTTTCGCGATACCGTCTGTGTTTGTTTATGTGTCTGTTTTCAGGATAACTCAAAAACGGCTACAGTAAAAAATCCCAAATTTTAAAATTTAACTTAAATCCACTTTATGGGTAGGCGTTTTTCTACATTAAAAAAACATTTTTGTTATTTATGATTGGAAGAAAATTCTTAGTATAAGAATTGATGTTGGAGCCATTTTCTACAATTTTTGTACTATACAAGATTTCTTTAAAATTGACAGTAATTGAGAAATTTAAGGAAAAAGCAAAATTTATTTTTTTTTTGCAAAGGAGATATGTAAAATGTTTCAAATAAAATGTGTGTACAAAATGATTATCTTTTATTAATATACTAAATTATTTTTGATTAGATGGGCCGTACTCAATATATTTGATAACTTTACAGAAAAGTCATCTGCTGGCTACATTAGATATTTTTAATATTTTGACTTGCAGTTTTTAGAATTATTCTAAAATACACATAAAATATAAAATATACCCACATAATACAATTTCTCAGTTTAATTTCATTAAAACTAAAGCATATTTTCTGATTTAATTGTAACTATTTTAGAGGTTTCCAAATCTAGTGCTATAATAACAAAATATCATTAAGTAATATTATTTTCAGTCTTGAAAAAGCATTAATCATATTGTCTCTTAAAAACGGATTTTAGGTCAATAAACTTTGTAGCCTGTACCACATACATCGTGTGGTTAATATGGAATAAATTAATTTTTAGCAGTATTATGTATTATTGGTAAAAAACCTTAAACAGGTCGATTTATATTCTTAATTTGGCTATACATATTATGAAAATATTATCATCCTCTTGCAACCCCTCTGAATTATGAGCATTCCTCGAAAATTTCAAATGAGAGAACAGGTCGTGTGGTACCTTGTTTGAAAGGAACTTTAATTATTTCATCAGCGATAAAGTTTTTAGAGAATTGGCAGTTTTGCCCCACCCCTAGATAGGAGGGAGATATATGCCAAATTAAAGATTGGTTGTATTATGACTTCTCCCAATTATCAGTCCGTTCTGAGTTATATCTGAGTTATATCATAGTATATGTGACAAAACGCAGTTTTTCTTGTTGAAAATCGTTTGTATTAACGCTAAAAGTTCTTTTGTCAGTTGATTCTGACATAAATTCTCCCCCCCCCCCCACACGTTTGTCATGGTAACGACCAAATGAAAACCCAAATTCCGTAGTGAAAAAATGCGTAGTAGCCAACTTATAAATAATTTAATTTTCACTTTTGTTTAGTTAAAATCAGTTGTGTAGAAACAAATAGACAAAAACTTAAATCTGGAATTGAACAAATGCATAGTTACCAAGTTAAAGATGATATAATCTAACTTTTGTATAGCTGAATGGTATTTTTTATGTAAGCCACCTTCTAGCTTACATAATAATAATAATTAATAACATTATTAAAAATAACAATTATTTCGGATGATAACAATAATAATAACAACAACAAATGTATAACTTTTCTATAATAGTTGTATAAAATTTTAAAACATTTTCACCAAAAAGGAAGACAACAAAATGAAAAATCTGATGTGTCCAACACGTTACTTTCCTATCTAGTTAGTATTGGCTTTTTCCGGTTATTTTGTACAACCTATTGCAGCACCTTTATAAATGTTTTAGAGGATAAACTAAATATATACATTTTCGATATACCTCGAAACATTTTTCTATAGATATTCATTGAAAACGAAAATACTGAAAAAATTAAATTTAGCACTTTTCCTACAATATTTCCATTACGGTCCATTTTAGAAAAATCATGTATAAACAAAAATTATAGAGACCTATATCGCAAACAACTTTTAGTTCAACAATTTTCATAAAAATCAGAATTTTGCACATTTTGTCAAATTTCTCGAATACGGACCATTCAGGAAATTTTGACATAAAGCAAAAATGATAGATAATATTAGAAGTAATTTTTATTTGAACAATTTTCTTCTCCAAACATAAATAATAGATATATTCCATAAAATATAAAAACAGCCTCCCTAAAGTACCCCCCCAGATGTTCCGACTTTCTCCAAAATCTAATAATTTTACGTCAGGCCGAAATATAACTTAATTTTAAAATTTATTGTTTTTTTCTTTATCCGTTTTTGAGTTTTCTTTAAAATTCGAAATTTACACATTTCCTCAGATATCTCAAATACCGTCCATTTTAGAGATATTATGTATAAAATAAAAATCCGATGTGTCCAACACATGACTTTCCTATCTAGTTATTATAGGCTTTTTCCGGTTTTTTTGTACAACCTATTGCAGCACCTCTATAAATGTTTAGAGGATAACTAAATATATACATTTTCCACATACATCTAACTCGAAACCTTTTTCTATAGATATTCATTGAAAACGAAAATACTGAAAAATGTAAATTTAGCACTTTTCCTTCAATTTTTCCAATACGGTCCATTTTAGAAAAATCATATAAAAAACAGAAATTATAGAGATCGATATCACAAATAACTTTTATCTAAACAATTTTCCTAAAAACTTGAATTTTATTATATTTTGTCAAATTTCTCGAATACGGACCATTTTAAAAAAAATTGTATTATACCAAAATTATAGATAATAATATTGTAAGTAATTTTTATCTGAACAATTTTCTTCTCGAAACATCAATAACAGATATATTCCATAAAATATAAAAACGGCCTCCCATAAAGTACTCCCCCAAATGTTCCGCCTTCGTCCAAAATCTAATAATTTTACCTCAGGCCGAAATAAAACTTAAGTTTAAAATTTAATGTTTTTTCCTTTATCCGTTTTTGAGTTTTCTTCAAAATTCAAAATTTACACATTTTCTCAAATATCTCGAATACGGTCTATTTTAGAGAAATTGTGTATGGAATAAAAATTATAGAGAATTATATTAAAAACAACTTTTATTTAAACAATTTTTATAAAAAAAATAATTTTTTTACATTTTGTCAAATTTCTCGAATACGGATCATTTAAGAAAAATTTTGTGTAAAACAAAAATGATAGATAATAGTATTATAAGTAACTTCTATTTAAAGAACGTAAATAACGGATATATTTCATAAAATATAAAAATTACCACCAATAAAGTACCCCCCCAAATTTTCCGCAGGTTGGGATAAAGGTAAAGTTTAAAATTTGGTGTTTTTCTTTGTATCGGTTCATGAGTTATGGTGGATACACACACACACACACACACACACACACACACACACACACACACACACACACACACACACACACACACACGCACGCACGCACGCACGCACGCACGCACGCACGCACGCACGCACGCACACACACACACACACACACACACAAGCATCATCCCGAAAATAGTCAACACGGATTCAGGGGACTCCAAAACGTAAAAATCCGTCAAAAACTGGAGGTCGAAAAAAATCAATCATGATTCCTATACTTTCCTTATCTGTATACAGATAGGAAAGTAAAAATTATAGAGCATTATATTAAAAACAACTTTTAATTGAACAATTTTTTTAAAAAAATATTTTTTTTTACATTTTGTCAAATTTCTCGAATACGGACCATTTTAGGAAAACTTTGTATGCAACAAAAAATATAGATAATAATATAAGAAGTAACTCTTATTTAAAGAATTTTCTTCTGCAAACGTATGGAATCGAAAATTATATCTAGATTTTTGCAATTGTCCCCAAATTATAAAGTATTTGCCTCCAATTTAATTTTGAAATTATTAATAATTTTCGCTTCCTGTGGCTCATTGCCAAATACAATAGTACATATGATTTTTTTTGCATTTATAGTAAGAAGATGGCCATTAGAATATGAAGCAACTGATTTTAAATTTTGATTAATTTGATTTTGTGCTTCTAACATATTTTCGTTTTTAAAATGATGATATATTTGCGTGTCATCAGCATACATGTGATATTTACAAACTTATAATGCGGAGTAAATTTTTGATTTGTACAAAGTATATAAGAAAGGGGTCCTAAAATTCTCCCTTGTGGAACTCCCTGCATTATATTGATAGAATTAGAAAAACTGTTGTTCAACTTAACACACTGACTGCGGTTAGTTAAACATGCTGATGCACTAAAGCCAATGTAATGCATAAATGATATTAAAATGTGATAATTTAGCTTGTCATATGCCCTTGAATAATCTATTAGAAACTAACTTCATTTTTGTCATCTGTTAATGACGCCAGTGTAGTAGTGCAACTATAGTCACGACGAAAGCGGACTGGCACTTAAGTAAGAGATTGTTCCTGGACAAATGAGATCTGATTTGCAATTCCATTGTTTTTTCAAAAATTTTTGATAATATTGGTAGAATACTTATACCTCTTAAGTGACTTAATTCAGTTAGATGTGATATGTTTGGTATGGGCAATAGAAGGTTTTTTTCCATTTTACCGGATAATACTTATTAGTTATGCATTAAGGGCAATACAAGAACTTTTTTCCAGTTTACCGGAAAATACCTATTAGTTATGCATTAATTAATTATATGCCTGATATAATGTATTATTATTGGACAACCCAGAAGAATTATATCAATGTTTAAACCATCAAAACCAAATGCCTTTGATTTATTATTTTTTTGTATATCATATATATCTGATTCAGATATGGTATTAAAAGTAAGTAAGGAACTCACCGAGTCCTCTGCATTTTCATTGTAGAAATCAATAACCCTTTGATCTGGATTTAGATTACTTAATTGGCCAACTAAAAATGAGTAAAGTTCATTAACGATTTTTAATGTTACTTTTGCTACCTATATCAATATTTTTTAAAATTAACCAGTT